CACATGATAACCTTCATTATACGATTGTGGAGAGTGGAGAGTTTCATTGAAATCATGAACTGACCTACGTTGCGCCATTATTGAACCAGCAACCCATTGAATACAAGAGGAAATGGTCGCACAATTTTGTGGATTCATTAAAGTTAAGTATTAACACCTTCAAGTGCCGGCTCAGTAGTCTAGATTTTAAGCATTTACTGGCAAAACCGATGGTCCTGGGTTCGAGTATCTCACGTGGGATCGTGGATGCATATTGTTGAGAAATCCCATACTTTGACGAAACGGCCGCCCAGTTCTTTCAGGTTTTCAGTGGTGGTCTAACATTGGTCAGTTCATAATTCCAATAGATTACATCTACAATTTAAGATAAGAAACATGTATCGGCAATAACCATGTGCTCGCTAGTGGCCAACTCTAAGAAACAATTGGAGTTTTAGAGAGAAGCCGTGAACAGTGGAGCTAATCCGTGTTGAATTAGAAACAGTTACCCACTTTTGGCGATGGAAGATGTTCGCGTGATATCGTACAATGATTAATGCTAGACATTATCATCTTTGAGTGTCGGCTCAGTGGTCCCAGGGTTAAGCACTTAAGCACTCGACCAAAGGTCCTAGGTTTGAGTCCCTGTGGTATAGCTGTCGTTGTGAACTAATGAGGAGTTCACACTAGGATGAAAAGACCTTCCAATGCTTCCTGGTTTTCAATGATGGTCTAGCTAAATTTAATGTGTGATTTACACTATTCAAGAAAACTTATTTAGGGAAAGTTTATTCATTTTTAGATTGAATGGTATTTCATCCAAAGTCAGTTGAATAAAAAAGTGATAAACTACAGTTTAGGAATAATAAATACTTCACCGTAAATTAAGTACACAAACTGAAGTTACGAAATATTTATTTTGAAAAACTTAAGATGCATAAATCGTATCCTCTTAGAAATACTACCTATTTGTAGCAATGTCATTCTTCTTTACATTGTTCAAAATATCTACGGGAGTTATTAGAATTAACGTTCTTCAGTTAGGGCATCGTTTCATGTTTTTTTTGTTGTGATACAGCAGTCAACATCATACAAATTTAAATGCATACGATCACGTTAGTGTTGATTAGCCTCCATGAAGGAGACTACTCATTATTTGTTCTTCGGGAAACATGTTCATGGTGTATATCAAGGTAAATGTCAAAACATGAACAGCACGACTTCTATTTTTGATTTGCTCTTTCATTTGTAGCATTTAACATTGTTAGACAGACTTCAACTAGTCGAAACGTAAGTTAAATAGAACTGACCTTTTGTTTAGTTAAAATCTTAGTAGATTAGTTCATATGTCTATTTGGCGAGTGGTATATTTCCACAATCTCCAATGTCACAAAACTAACCTCTTTTTTGATACTACCGTAAGCTAAATGTTGTTTCACATTATGCTCTATTTAAAAAGGAAAGTGGCTTTTTTCCTCTGAGTATATTTCGTAGTATTGTTCGTTTAATTACGCATCAAGAGTAATGTTTTTACTTTAATTGACTTTATTTCAGTTAAATGAATCTCCAAGATTATTGTTTTTTCTAAAGTAAATTTATCATTTGTACTTTTTGAGTACAGATAGAAAAAAAGCATTGGTTCTTTTTCCTTGTTGAGTATATCATTTAGTATTGTTTGTATCTAAAGGTGTTAAGGTCTTTTTATATTTACTGAAGTCGGATTTTTTTATTATTTATGTCAGCTACAGCAGCATATAAATCTCTGTTTTTTTTTTAAATGTTCAACGTCTATCACCTATAGGGCCTTAAAAGACACTTATTCTAGAGATCAGTTTTCGTTGTTGTTCTTCCTGTGAGATCACTAAACAATTTTATGGTGCAAGTAAAACATCGTTGTGGAAGCCCTGTATGCTATTTCGCGGTCGATGATGGAATACAATGTGACAGCTGCAATAAGTGGTATCACAATATGTGCACCAGACTCATAGCGGCTGCATACAAATTGTGCTGCAAGTCACGATCGCGTTGGCTGTGCTGTTCTTTAAAGTCTCTGATGATTCTTGAGGCGACTGACCTGCTGAACATAGCTAGAAAATTGCCCTCAGATAAAAAAGGCAGCAGTAGATGAGCGAAATTTAGCATTCGAGGAAACAGAGAGCGTTATCACGAGCCCAAATATGGATCTGAATGAGACCATCAAGGTGGACCCTATTATAGAAGCGGATAACAAGCACACAGATGTAGTCATTGTTACATGGAAAAAGAAAAAGCACTCTGAGAATAAACAAATTACAGGCAGCACTAAGGTTTGTGAATCTATGGTTTCGGTTCCGGATTCATATATCAACGCAAAACAGACTATGGGGGAGTAAAGTCTGAGTGGTGTAGAGGATGTGATCAAGAGTCAAAATAAGGTAAATGATTGGCTTACAGTCACACCCAGAAAAAGAAAAGTAAGCAAACAGAGTAAGACCTCTGCGTTTGATGTCAATTCGGAATCACATTGCAGGGAATAGAAGATTTCAAGAATTAAAATTTCTGTGTTAAAACGGACCTAGCTGACAGGCCAGTCATTTTTCATAAGTTAAGAGAATCTTCCGATAAGGAACCGGAGGCTGGATTTGAGCACGACTTCGGTCACATTAAGTCCTTAATAAGCAAGCTACTCCCAGAAACAGTTTCAGTAGTTGGCGTCTGTAAGCTTTATAGAATATGACAGAAGGTGGATTCTGGAAGTACGCATAAAAGCCGCCTCTTAAAGTTTACCTTTGCTTCGGCTGAAGAAAGAAACCTGATACTGGAAAACTCGCGCAAAATGATTGGATCCGGAATATACGTCCGTGAAGATCTCAGCTTAGCTGATCGTATTAAGAGACGGTCGGCAGAAGTAGGAATAAATGAGCTCCGCCGAAACGGTTAAAGAAATATAGTACTTAAGAGTTTTCAAATTGTGAACGTTCGAAGAAAAACGATCCCCAAACCAATCTGAGTGGTAAGAGAAAGTTCTTCACAAAATTAAAGGTGTGCTACACAAACGCTCGCAGCCTACTAAATAAAATTGCGGAGCTCAAGTCAGTGGCGGATAAAGGAAAACCGGATGTTATTGCTGTCTCAGAAACTTGGTTAGCGTCAGAAGTGTTTGATAATGAAATCCAGTTGACTGGTATTTTATCCAGTAGGGCTGATAGATTAAACAGTAGGGGATGTGGGGTTATCTAGCACACAAAAAGTACTTTAACCATACGAGCTTTTGAGACGGTGGCACACGACGCAGGGACATGTAAACTGGTGCGTTACAGGCTGAAATGTAAACGGTAAGATATTGAATTAGTTGTAGTATACCACAGTCCAGAATGTGTATTAGATGACTTCCTCCTAAGCCAACTTAGGTCCTGGTGTAATAGGGATAGAAGCCTTGAAGTAGGCGACTTTAATGCACCGTATATTAACCGGGTAAACTTAGAAATAGGGTCATCGACAACGTCATTTGATTGCAAACTGTTAGAAACCTCCATTGCATTAGCTTTATTACAGGACATTAGAGACCCCATCAGATATGCTGAAGAAGCTCTTAGTATCTCTTGGACTTAGTCTTCACACGATGATGATATCGACTGAATGACTTTTCTACCACCTCTAGGGAGAAGCGATCATGAACTCAACTTATTCAAGTTCATGGCTGAGATGGCCTGTCCAATAGTTGCGCCAGCCCGTTCTAATATATATATATATATATATATATATATATATATATATATATATAATCAATGAGAAATAACTTGGCCAAATGTGAAAATGATAATGACCTTAAAAATGTTACACTACAATACAGTCGTATGGATTAAATCGTGTAAACTGTATAGTTTTCCACACCCCTATCCTAATGTATTCTAACACCATAAAAAATAAGGTAATTAACATAAATGTATACTTCACAAGTATGAGATAATCTGATATTTTATGCCTATGCCAGATATGTATAAACGAAAGCAAAGGATAAACAATTGTCTAGTTGAAGTTCAAATATTATTTTTGTAGGAGAAGGTGTTAAGAAAATAAACGTAATTTAATGACGAATAATATAGTTCTCAGCCAAGTAAGTTCATTTCATGATTTTAGAAATTATATGCATACATTAGACTACTAATTAATTATAAGTCCAAAATTGATTAGACATATAAAACTATATTTATTATTATAAGCAAAGACGGATAGTGGCTAGCTGTGGAATCTAATACACACATTTCATCCTATTTGTGACTCTGGATGTACCTGCATCTAACAGTTGATGTCCATTCTGGGACTCGAACCCAGTACCACTCTCTTCAAACGCCATCGCGTTAACCACCTAGCTACTGAATCCTAATGGCCACCAGCTTGTGCAATGGGGTGAAGTTTAAATTCACTTGTTATTGTTTAATTCAATCTTTCCATTGTTGTTTAGGACTGCAATTGATCAGTCTCTTATTGGCATATGTGCACACTATGTGTATTGCCTCGATATTGCCTTAATTCACAAGCATTATAAGCAAAGATGGATAGTGGGAAGATTCCAGTGAACAATACCAAGTGATATTTATCACTATTTATTGTTCTGAATGTCTTTTAATTAATGGCTCGTGAGTAAAGTAATCCTCTTCAATGCATTTTTTTTCGTATATTGATAAACCACTGTTGTTACGTTTCAATGAGTAGCAGGTGGAAGTTATTCCGCAATCATAGCGAATAATTAGATCAGTAACAGTAATCAATGCTTAGTTCAATTCATAACCCTGACAAATCAGTTTTATTCCAAATCACTACAGTAGGATTGTTTTGAAGTATAATGAACACGTTTGAAGTTATTAAAATTTTAAGTATAATGTACAAAGACACAACGTGGTCATCTTAAGAAAGAACTATTAATGCCAACTCTTAAATGAACTGATATTAAAAGACAAAGTGATTGTTGAACAGAATCGATTTTTCGTAATAAAGCAGTACACTTATGCACAAAATATGACACATTAATACTTACTTACTTACGCCTGTTACTCCTCGTCGAGAAGCAGAGGCCGCCCACCAGCACTCTCCATCCAACCATGTCCTGGGCAATCCTTTTCATATCTGCTTTAGACAAATTAATAGAGATCACTTAAAACATAAGTGATTATCCGCTTCGTCTCTAACTTCACTCTTCAATTCTGACTCTTTTTCGCTATTTCTGATGTTACCACTAATTCACTTTGTTTTTCATCCGGTTAATTTCATAAATGTTGATTAAGCAACTTATGACATTAAGCCCGGCTAATTATCGTATGATTTATTCGTTAAGCGATATACGAATTATACAATCTTAGTAATGTGTCAAACCAGTAACGTTCGACCGGTATGAGCAAACTAGTGTCCTTATTGGTCCTTTGTCCTTCTAGCCCTGCCAGTTGAGTCCAGAACACCAATAACAGCTTTCACTATACGAATCATTTATTTCAAACATACCTGGTTTATATACAAGACAAACAGAGCACATTACACCATAAAATAGGAAATAATATTTGTACAAGATCAAGCCAAGAAGTGGCTGTGAACGTGGGAGGTAGTAGTCAATAAACTGAGTATAACTTATGAACAGTAAATCGTACAATAATAATCTAAAGGTTAAAATGAAGCTTATAATAAGAGGAATATAGATATGTATCATTTAATTACTGAATAGTTATACCATAAGAATATATAGATTATATTAGTCCATTAATAGTTCACAAAAGTTACCCGTAACTTAATCTTTACTAGGATACAACACAACTCCTCTCTTGATACTAATCATTCATCCTTACTTATTATCTCATCTGTACTCAGTTAACCGATTTTGTTTTAAAAGGTTACACAATAACAACATTAATATCTCATTTCTAAGAACTTGGGGTGGTACATATTTGTTCCGGATTGTACGTTGAATGTAACTGGCCATATGTATAAACTCGATTCATTGTGAATTTTGTTTAACCCTATAAACCATGATGAGCTGATGAAAGTTAGGTGCGAATGAAATATCTTCTACTAAGTGCAAGATTTGAGAGAGATGGAAAAGAAGCAAAAAGAGGACATCACTTATATCGAGTCCTTCGTTTCGGTAAGAAACATTTTTCATTTTTGAGACGCTGTCATAATGTTTCAAGACAGTATTAAATCATTTAAGATATACTTTGTTTACGGAGAGAGGTTTATATCATAAAGACAAATGTAAACAAAAGAGCATGAATGAATCTAATTATTTAGATAAGGTAAGTTTTTAGTATATGGATGATATGAATGTATTCACTCAAATAAGACAATGTAGGCATACTATATAGCCCATAAATAAAAGTTTCTATTATTCGAAATCTGTCTGAGTGGACCAGCTTTTAAATTACGCGGCTCTCACTGACTAAATTGCATCTACATACACCACTTTATCTACCTCATTTTGGATAGCATTATTAAACTACAGAATGAAAATGTGACTGGAGGTTAGTTGTATGTGTCGAGACTTGGTTACCAAATTACAATGAATGACTTAGATTAGTCTAGTGGATTAATTTAACTAATTTGATTATTATCACAATAGGGTATCATGGTAGCACAATACTGTAAATAGACTGACATTAATTATGTACACAAATGGATGTCGGTTCAGTAATCTGTGGATTAGGCGATCGTGTACCAGACTGAAAGTCCTGAGTTTGAATCTCTATAGCGAGGTCGCAGACGTGGACTGGTGAGGAGGCTCATACTAGGGCGGAACAGCTACCCATTGCTTCCTGATTTTCAATAGTGACCAGTTTGTAATTTAAAACTTTGTCAAGCTAACTGTTAGTAAAGATAAATAGTTCTGGTTAAAAACCTATGTTCATTCAAATAAATGGTAGTATTCAAATTCTTTTTGAAATCCACATGTTATTTGACAAGCTTTAAACATGAATGATAGTATTGTGTCAAGATTAAGTATATCACTAGTTAACTACTTCGTAGTAAATCACATAAAGAAGATTCTAAGCTAGAAGTGAGAAAAGTAGCTGTGCAACAGCAAATAGCAAAGGTTTTCATCTTTAATAGGTTGTTGTTGTTTTTTTTTTATATCGTTCATATCAGTCGATCAGTAAAACAGAATGGATTATATAATGAAAAGTCAGATATAACAGTATTTATATTGTCAGTAAAATACTAGCATTATAATATAAAAGAATATATAAATACATAGCTTAATGGGGGGTGGGATAGGGTGGGGAATAAAGTATAAACTAGAACCAGGTAGTTGTTATGAAACAAAAACCAACACAACAACAACAACAACAATGTAGGCAATAAGTTTAAACATGAAGCTTTAAAACTTAATAAAGAATTAATGGAATGTAATATCAACATACAAACAGAATAACTTACATAGAATTATTCATTCATTCAATGAACTATTGGTTCAGAATGATGATTTCTATGAATACAAGAAGAGAATAATAAATTAAGTAAAGCAACTTGTATTACAAATACAATACCAATTGTACATAATAAACGAGAAAATTGACGATCTATTTGTAATGAATAAATAAGAATAGCTAAAAGTATATTGATTAAACCACATATTAATATAATCAAACGAATTGTAGAATATGAAGCATTTGAATCAAGTGATTCAGAACAGATAGTTACTAAATCAAGTATAAATGCAATAGTTAAAAGTAATATACCAAGAAAAAAGAATAATATTAATAATATTGAAGTGATTTGATAATTTCTTAAACATGATGTAAATAATCCACCACAATTCCAATGATTTATTATTAAAGCTAAACTAATGAATAGAATACTGAATGGTTGAAGAATTAAAGATAATGTCTTTGTCATTTGTATTACATAACAATCATATACAACATTATAATATAATACATGTTCTCTGATTGACATGTCTCTTAATATTACATATATATATATATATGTTTATTATCGATTAATAGGTGTTTGAATGATTGGGTCAATAATTTGATTTGAATTATGATTGGTTCATTCTTGTGAAATAACCTTGGGTATGTTTACCTTTCGTCAAAAATGTTTTCAGACATTCTCATTGGTTGTTTTATTTGATTGTCAATATATAAATGATGGGAAATAATACTGAATGCGTCATAGGTTTGTTTTATCAAATGTCAAATGATTTAGACATTTCATAGGTTGAAATCATGAGTCGATTGAAACTAGACCACTATGGAAAATCTAGAAGTACTGGATGGCCATTTCGTCCTAGTATGGGACTCCTCAGCAAATGATTTATTACTGATAAATGACATTGATTATCAATTCTTGAGAGATGATCGTTGACGGGACTAATACAGGTCATCAAGCCACCTAACCTTTTCAAACTGAAATTGATCTTAATAATCTAAAGTATTTTATTCCACTGATTATATAAACACAGATTCGTTTTTTTTGTAACTGGTGCAAAATCTGTTGGGAGTGATCCGGAAAATACCTCTTGAAAACAAAAAGCAATAAAAGGATCTGGAAACGTTGAGAAATATATTATGCAATCAACATTTAATAAAAGTTGTACCAGAAACATCTAGAAAGTGAAACGTCACATATCGAATTTCTGATTGGATGATTATCTATGGTGCTACTATGTGTAATAGCGTTTCAGAATTTTCTAGAAGCCCAAGGCCATCTAAAATGCTATAAATACACTAGATTTCCTGTGCCATAAATGAACTTTTGGAGTAAAGCGTTCCTTCTATGTTTCACTCCTTTTCTCTCATGTTCAAGTTCCTGTGTAGATTTAGCCTGGGGGTTACTAGAATACTAAATAGTTGTTTAGTCTTAGTACGTAACTTCTGATTCTGTTTTGTAAGTAGGTTGCTGAAGAGTTACATACGAAGATTAAGCCTGTATTAAGAGTTTTTTAACGAAGATAGAATTGTGATGTGCTCTATGAAGATCGACAATTCCAACATACTAGATTTCATTGTAATCATCAAGTTAGCAATAAAAGTCATCAGCATATTACATTTTCATTCTAACAAATCATAAGGAGATTTGATTCTCAAACTGATCAAATATCATTAAACAGTCCATTATTTTAATCCCTAAATAATAACAAAAACACATTCTAACAACTACATTGTGGTGTGTGTTAGTGATGTTGACAGATATAAGTAGTATGTATAACCAGTCGAAAGTGAAATGCCTGGCAGCAGAAGATTAAGAAAATCGAAGTAAAGAGAATGAGAACAGAGAATGATTAGTGTGGAAACGAATAACCAATGAAATTTAAGATGATCGACTGATATTTTGCAAATGAAGTATTTACTATATGGTTCTCAGATTTTGCTAACAAATTATGTAATTTTCCATTCATTTACATTTGTTTATCCCCACTTTTGTTTTCGTCCACCACACTACTTATTATCCATCCTGTCATTTGGAAAGGCTATTCACTATACAATACACAAGATGATACTGATGATAATGATATTGTTGTTGTTGTTGTTGTTTGAATATAAAAGTCGTATGCATGTCAACTACTGAATTGAATGTATTTCAACGTTTCTAATGTGGATTCCAATTAATTAATGAAATACTAAATTAGAATAAAACATTCATTCCAAAGTGTACATCATTATGTTATTTATAATATGTAAGAGTTTCGGTAAAATCACACTGTGTTGACATGAGAAAAACTAAATAAACAAAAGTGATGACATAAAGCAAGATTATAAGAAAACAGAAGCACATGAACTAATACAATAATGAAGTAAATAAAACCTTTCAAAAATTCTAATACCCTTGTTTTTCTTTGTAAAAGGTAACAATTCCATGAAAACATTTTTGAAATAATCGATACAACAATTGAATTTGTGTGAAGGATTAGTTAAAGTTAAACATTAACACCGTTGGATAGCAGTTCAATAGTCTAGAGGTTAAGTGTTTGCGCGCGAGACCGATAGATCCTGGGTTCGAATCTCAGGTGGCCGGATTGCGGATGCACACTGCTGAGGAGTTCCATACTAGAACGAAACGGCCGTCCAGTGCATTCAGGTTTTCCATGGTGATCTAGCTTTAATTGACTCATGATATCAACTACTAAAATGATAACTGTTAAGATTTTAACTTACACGGGCTAAAATAATCGGAGCTAATGATGAATACCGTAATTGTAAGTTGAAAAAGCATTAATAAGTTCATTGACCATATTAAATGGTTACAACTGATGTATGTTACTAAACATATTAATAAGTAGTATAAACTGTTATGGATTATTTTTAAAGGTTATTCAGAAAACATATATAGATTGAAGAACTAAGAAAACCACATCTAATTAGATCAGTCACTTAGCTTTCATCTATATTCATTTCTAAATGTATTTTCTGCATATCTGTTTCATGAATAACCTTTCAGATAATCTTTGTTGATGAATAGTAATTAATAAAAGACATAATATTCATCCGAATGATGTACTTCCCCAAAAATTCCACAGGTTTTCATCGCCTAACGGGATTGAAATATAATTGATGGTTATATTGAAGCAGGTACATAGGTGGCACATGCTCTGGAATTGATTATTGAACTTCTTCCAACAAATCATTAATATCAGGTCCTTGGATTGCTATCTAATTTTTAATACTGCAGTACATTTTCATGTTTTATTATTGTCATATACCTTCTCAATTGAACGTTAAAACACAATAGACGACAACGTTCCTGTTACCATTTTTTTAAGATTAATTAATTTTACAGAGATCATGAAACGATCAATGTTAGACCACCATTGAAAATCTGGAAGCACTGGATGGCCGTTTCTTGCTAGTATTGGACCTCTCAACAAAGTGTATCAACGGTCCCACATGCAATATTCAAACCTAAGACCTTCGATCTCACGAGTAAATACTTAACATCTAAACTGCTGATGCGGAAACCAAGGGTGGTAACACTTAATTTTAATCATTGCACGACAATGTGTGATTAAATGATTTTGGAATACGATATCAAATTGAGCAAATGGCTGTCAAATGTATTAAGTTAATTCGATTAGTTAACTTGTGATAAGTTGTCTGACGAATTCGGATATCCTATATATGAATTCTCTCAATATCTCCTGTGCACGTACCAATTATTTCTAGCACTTTAGACTTCTGTTACTATCAAAGTTATAGACTGTTTTTTTAAATAAGGTATATATTTACAATATTTATTCAGTCCATCAAGTTTGCTTACACTCGTACTTTACTTCAAAGTTAAAAAAGCTGTACTATTTTTCTTTACAGCGCTCGTAATTGTTTATGGGTATTGGTTGAGTGATTGATTAGTCCGAAATCTACCACCCAGTTTACTGCTCACGTTAGTTCATGGGACAAGTCCTAATATCCAGGGCGAAGGAATTGGGTTTTACCTCCCATCTTCAAAGTTACTTCGAACTAAATTACTTCATTTAAGTAGTTTGAATCCATTTTGTAATCAGGATTTTTAATCATCACAGGTTGTAAGTAGCTCACGAGAACTAAACGAAATAAAATGAATTCATGTTATTCTGTACAATTTTTTGTTCTTGCTCCCTTCAAAACAAGGAGATAAAGGGTACTATGTGTATAAGAATCACTTTTGATTAGTCACCTTTCTACCCATCTATTAATAGTCATATATCCATTATTATCTTGATCTATAACTATTGGAGACACTCTGACTAATTGATACTTTGGATAGTTTGAATTAATTTCATTACAATATGGATATGATCAGTCTAACTCAGTCTTGTATTTATTTCATTACAATAGAATTGTTAGTCTCAAAATAAATCCAAATCAATTAAAGAGATCTAATTCCAGTGTTATTCCAGTATCACTATTAGTTCAGTCTAATTGTATCTATTCAGTTCCATTATATTTTGTTACTATATATCCCAGCTAATTCAGGTACGTAACTGTATATTCAATTAAGGAATATTTGTGTTCTTACTTAAATAATTTGCACTCGGTCATGGAATATAAATATAAAGAATATTGCAAACATTTATTTGTCAATTAATGTGACTATTCAAGAAGATTTGGAAAGAGGATCAAGTGCCACCGACACACTGGAAAGAAGGACACTTTATCAAAATACCAAAGAAAGGAGATCTGAGAAAATATGAGAACTATAGAGGCATCACACTAATATCAGTACCAGGAAAAGTTTTCAGCAGAGTGTTGCTGAACGAGAGGAAAGACACAGTAGACACCCAACTTCGAGATCAACAGACTGGATTCCGTATGGATTGGTCGTGCACAGACCGAATTGCAACACTACGAATCATCGTCGAACAATCAATTGAGTGTAACTTGTCGCTATACATCAATTTCACTGATTATGAAAAAGTGTTTGACAGTTTGGACAGGAGAACATTGTGAAAACGTATTCGACACTATAGAGTTCCTGAGAAGATTGTCAACACTATCCGAAACTCATACGACGGACTACAATGCAAAATCGTGCATGGAGGACAGCTGACAGATGCATTCCAAGTAAGGACTGGAGTCAGGCAAAGTTGTCTACTCTCTCCCTTTCTCTTTCTTCTGGTGGTCGACTGGATTATGAAGACCTCGACATCAGAGGGAAAACAAGAAACACTATGAACAGCTCAAAACTAATTAGACGATTTGGACTTCGCAGATGACCTAGCCCTCCTATCCCTTACACACAAACAAATGCAGATGAAGACAGCTCGTATGGCAACAGCCTCACCAAGGTCCTCAAATACAACACGGAGAACACCAACCGCATCACACCTGATGGAGAAACTCTGGAAGGTGTGGAATCCTTCACGTACTTGGGTGGTAGCATCATCGATGAAGAAGGAGGATCGGATGCCGATGCAAAGGCAAGGATAGCAAAGCAAGGGCCGCATTCCTACAATTGAA